AAGACATATATCCTTTCACTTTCCCTTATGTGACACAGATGGAAGAAACCTGGGAAATAGTATGCTGGGGAGCCCACGCCACTAGCTCAGCACTTAGGTTATACGGTCTCCAAAAACTAAAGCCTATTTTTGTATCTTCCATTCACTCATTAATTCAATAAACGTTTACTGAACACTTACTATGAGAATAGATGGGTGAAAAAGATGGCCATGTTCTCTAAAAAAGAGCCCCAAAGAAGCTCATAGGCTACTATGGGGTCTGGGTCAGTGAACAGACAATTACAGTGTGATGAATGGCATGACAAGGGAAGTCTGGGGTCTTAGGGGTCTTCACAGTTTTGGAGGCTAAAAGTCCAAATCAGGGTCTGAGCAGTGTCAATTCCTTCTGTGAGCCTGTCTCCTTTCCTCATATGTCATCTGTCTTCCCCTGTGTGTGTTGGTGTCTAGTATGGTGCTTTTATAACTCAGAAGTGAATTGGTGTAGGATCTACCCTACACTGACAGACCTTGACTGATTGATTGATTGTATTACATTAGATTGCATTATGGACGGTGATTACATTGCAATACTTTGTTATTGTTAGCTGTCCTCGAATCAGCCCCCAACTCATGGAGACTCCATGTACAATGAGATTGGACCATTGTGATCCATAAGGTTTTCATCAGCTGATTTTGGAAATAGATCGCCAGACCTTTCTTCCTAGTCAGTTTTAGTCTGGAAGCTCTGCTGAAGGCCTATTCAGCATCATAGCAACACAAAAGCCTCCACTGACAGGTGGTGGCTGCACTTGAGTTGCATTGGCCAGGAATTAAACCCAGGTCTTGAGCACGGAAAGTGAAATTTCTACCATTGAACCACCACTGCCCTCTACATTATATTAAATGTAAAGTCATTACATTATAGTATATTACATTATGGAAGGTAATCTGCCGTACCCAAGGCCAATTGATTTAATCACATGTGACTACTCCATGAGAGCAACTAGACTAGTGTTTGGCCAAACCACTGGGAACCATAACCTAGCCAAGTTGATACATAAAATTAACCATCACAGGTTCCAAAGATCCAGTGCAGGATCACAACTGTGGGATCCAACTTTGCTCTGGCCACACCAGCAATGCTTATCTTGTGGCTAGTTTTCCAATTTTCAAAATGATTTATCCTGCCACTTTTATGGTGTTGTTACATTAATGGTTTTGTTCTGTGATGCAGTTTCTATATTAACCACATGGTGATGTTGCAGACAGATCTAGCGATTTGTTTGGGGAGGAGGAGGTTTTAAGAACATTTTAATTTTTTAATAAATTATGGTACAGTTACACAATTAAAAGTTATGCAGCCACTGACAGAATGAGTTAAAGCTATATGACTTATAAGAAACATCTTCAAGATATACTACTAAATGATAAAAGCAAGTTACTAAACAATATGTAGAGCCTGCTCTCCTTTGTCTAATTTTTTTAAAAACAGAATATAAATATATAGGTTGGTACATGCATAACTTTTTTTTTCCCTGGGAATACAAAAAAAGAAACCGTTAACAGCAAAAAAGAGGAAGACGCTCAACGAGATGGATTGACACAGTGGCTGCAACAATGGGCTCCAACATAGCGACGATTGTGAGGATGGTGCAGGACCAGGCAGTGTTTCGTTCTGTTGTACACAGGGTCGCAACGAGTAGGAACTGACTTGATGGCGCCTAACAACAACAATTACCACCACCACAACAACAGTGGTTACTTTAGTGAGCTGGACTGGGGATCAGGGAAGGGAAGAGGGTATTTCCTTTTGAGTTTATACCTTTTAAAATTATTTGAATATTTATGATCTTGCATTAATTAAAAATTAATGAAAAATCATTATTACAAAAGCAATCAACTTGTTTTAAAATTTAAATACTGCAGAAGTTAATAAAAGTCTCTTCTCCCTTACCGCTTAATCGCATTCCCCAAAGGAGAGGTAACCACTGGCAGTAGTCTGGAACCTCCATACTCAGATTGTGGTCTCCAGACCAGCAGCATCAGGATCATGAAGAAGTTGTTAGAAATGTAGAATTTTATGCCTCACCCCAGACCTACTCAATCAAACTCAGTGGTGGGGCTCAGCAAGCTGCGAGTTTTTTGTCTTTTAAAATTTTATTGTGGTGAAAATATACATAACAAAGCATACATTACCCAACAATTTCTACATGTACAATTCTGTGTGGCTCATTACAAATTATGGATAACATTGCACAGGATGGGAATTCCAGAACACTTAATTGTGCTCCTGAGGAACCTGTACATAGACCAAGAGGCAGTTGTTTGAACAGAACAAGGGGATACTGCATGGTTTAAAGTCAGGGAAGGTGTATGTCAGGGTTGTATCCTTTCACCATACTTATTCAATCTGTATGCTGCGCAAATAATCCGAGAAGCTGGACTTTATGAAGAAGAATTCGGCATCAGGATTGGAGAAAGACTCATCAACAACCTGCGATATGCAGAAGACCCAACGTTGCTTGCTGAAAGTGAAGAGGACTTGAAGCACTTCCTGATGAACATCAAGGACTACAGCCTTGAGTATGGATTAAACCTCAACATAAAGAAAACAAAAATCCTCACAACTGAACCAGTAAGCAACATCATGATAAATGGAGAAATGATTGAAGTTGTCAAGGATTTCATTTTGCTTGGATCCACAATCAATGCCCATGGAAGCAGCAGTCAAGAAATCAAAAGATGCGTTACATTGGGCCAATGTGCTGCAAAAGACCTCTTTCAAGTGTCAAAAAGCAAAAATGTCACTTTAAGGACTAAGGTGCGCCTGACCCAAGCCGTAATGTTTTCAATCGCCTCATATGCATGTGAAAGCTGGACAATGAATGAGGAAGACTGAAGAAGAATTGACGCCTTTGAATTATGGTGTTGGCGAAGAATATTGAATATAGCATGGACTGCCAAAAGAACAAACAAATCTGTCTTGGAAGAAGTACAGCCAGAATGTTCCCTAGAGGCAAGGATAGCGAGACTTCGTCTCACATATTTTGAACATGTCCCTGGAGAAGGACATCATGTTTGATAAAGTAGAGGGTGAGGGAAAAAGAAGAAGACACTCAACAAGATGGACTGACACAGTGGCTGCAACAATGGGCTCAAACATAGCAACAATTGTGAGGATGGCAAAGGACCCAGCAGTGTTTCATTCTGTTGTACATAGGGGCGCTGTGAGTCGGAACCGACTCGATGGCACCTAACAACACAAACAAGGTCACATTCATAAATACAGGGGTTAGGACTTCAACATATCTTTTTGGGGGAAACAATTCAATCCATAACAATAACCATCTCAAAATGTCACTTCTTATTGATGGTGGGGCATTAAAGGAACTTCTTCTAAAGGCAGTGCCTAAAATTGTTGTGCATATTAGTCCTGTGTTGGGCAAGTCATTTACTCATGACTCAGTTTCTTCTATGATAGAAGACATACATTGCCAAGTGTTCTCACTTTCAGGAATTAATTACATTAAAAAAACGATAGTGAAGGTAGATCAAAAACAAACAAACAAACAAACAAACAAACAAACACCGTTGCCATCAAGTTGATTCAACTCATAGCAACCCTATAGGACAGAGTAGAACTGCCCCATAGGGTTTCCAAGGAGCACCTGGTGGATTTGAACTGCTGACTTTTTGGTTAGCAGTTGAACCCTTAACCACTGTGCCACCAAGGCTCCAAGAAGGTAGATTAGTGGTTCTTAATATTTGAGCGTGGGGGAGGCAGAGAGTCACAGGTCCCATTTGAGAACTAATGAAAGCTATAAACCTCCCCCAGAAAAATGCACATACATGAATGTTGCATGTAACTTCTGGGGAGTCAGAGACCCTCCTCCCAAGCTCATTCACAGAGGCGATTAAGATCTCCTGGACAAGATAATTTTGAAGCTCTATCTTAGTGTCTCTCAAAGTGTGGTCCATGGATGATCGGAATCAGAATCCCTTGGGATGTTTGTTTGAAAATAGATTCCTAGGACTACTGCATAACTACTGTTTCAGAATATCTGGGGGATGACACCAAGGCATCTGTCTGACTTTAAAAATCCCCAAGTGATTCTTTTGGAAACTAACATTTGAGGGTCAGTACTTTATTCCAACCTGAGGTTTTTGAATGCTTTCATCTGTTGAATATTTTAGGTTTCATCTGTTTACCTGTCAAGCATACCAAACAGTAAGTTCAGTATGATGTTATTAAAAATTTACGTGTGTGTATATATAGGAAAAACATTTGGAAGGAAACATATGTATGTTTTTCCTATGTATTTTGATATATATATATCTTAAGATGTTAAGAGTGTTTCTCTCCGGATAGTGGGATTATGGAATATCTTAATTTTTTCCCCTTTATCCTTCTATTTTATTTTTCTTTCTCATTTTCTTTCTTTCTGTATTTAAAAAAAGGCTCTTCCTCTTTCTGAGTTCAATTCTCCCATCTGAAACACAAGGGTGTTGCAACTAGATGAATTTCAAGGTCACATCCTGCTCCAGTGGTCAGTGACTCAATACTACCCCCTAGCTTAGTTGTCCATTAATAGCATGAACTGCATAGGTACTAAGTGTGTAGCAAATAAAATAAAAAACCCACTGCCATCGAGTCAATTTCGACTTACACGTATTACGTTGAGATGCCTAGCAACCGTTTTTACTCTAGCAAAATTATTCTCTTCTTTCTCAAGGAGCCGGAACTGAAATAACTTCTACTATTTACAGCCCGCCCCCTCCCGCAAAAAAAAAAAAAAAAGTTCATCCTCTCGCTACCGTTTTAGGAAAGGCCGTCCGCACGCATCTCTTAGGAACTTAAGCATGGTTGTGAACCAAAAAGCCGGGCGTGATCGCCCCGCCCCTCGGCCCCTACACCACCACCCCTTCTCGCCGCTTTCAAGCGCGGACATTGGCTGAAGACAAGAAAGAGCCCCGCCCTGAGTCTTATGACTCGCGCTTAAGCGCTGATTCTTGGTTCTTGCAACGCTGTGGTCAGTGGTGACCGGCGCTGTTACCCCAGTCCGGGCGAGCCGCTTCTCTGGTGTTGCTGCTTTTGTCGCCGCCGCCTCTTGCTTTGCGGGATCATGGTGTACCGAGGCCTCGGCTTCTTCCCGGTTCCGGGCTTGGGGCTCGTTCTGCTTTGCGTCGTCCTGGGTGAGTTGTCGGGCCCGCCGGCTTAGGCTCCCAGCCTAGGCCCGGGGCGTCACTTCAAAGGCTACAAGTTGAAAGACTGGTCGGCGGGGAGGGGTGGAGGGGCTGACTAGCTGACACTGGGCGGCGGCGGCTGGCCCGGGGAGGCGAGCAGTGACCTAGAGCAGGCCTGACTGAGGGATGGTGGGGAAGATGGGCCCGGGAGAGTAGGATGGGGCAATAAGGAGGTGGGGGTGGGGTGGACGCCGAGGGAGTGGGTAGAGAGGAGTGAGGAGGGGAGGAGGTCGGGGTAGAAAGAGTAACTTGGAAAGATATTAAGGAGTGTGCGTAGGAGGGCGGTTCCTGCAGATTAGGGAGCGGCAGGGACAATTTTGAGAGGAGAATCCTGGTTTACCAGGAGCAGGGGAGAGTTTGGGAGATGGTGGGGAAACTATGGGGTGGGTGAGAAAATTGGGTAGGGAAGAGACTGAGCCTGCATGGAGAAGTTTAGGGGAAAAGCTTGGGTGGGGGACAGATAGGAGGATTCAGTCTCAGGAGTACTGATGGGGGTGGAAGGGTATTTGTAGGTAGGAATTTGAGGCCTTGAAGGAAGAGTGATTAAAGAGCCGAGGAATGATGCTGGACTTAAAAGTTTGGTAGTCAGAGGGTTTTTTTTTTTTTTTTGGGTCATATCAAATTTTTTAATTTGTTTTTGAACAGCTGATTCATACATATTGTACAGAATATTCAGGAGGTGAAAATTTAACAGGAAAAATATTATAAAAGTTACAAAAAGATATACAGTGAAAATTGTCTTTTTTCTCCTTCAGTTCTCCAGCAACCCAGAGGCAACCATTGTTACTAGTTGCTTGTTATTACTTCAGAGGTATTCTATGCATATGTATAACCAAAAAACCAAACCAAACCCGTTGCCATCGAGTTGATTACCACTCATAGCCACCCTGTAGGACAGAGAACTGCCCCATAGGGTTTCCAAGGAGCGGCTCATGGATTGAAACTGCTGACCTTTTGGTTAGCAGCTTGAGCTCTTAACCATTGGGCCACCAGGGCTCCTGAATAGGTATATTAGTTTAAAAAAAAGAAATAATAGCTAACTACATGCACAGTTCTGCACTTTGATTTTTTTTTAGTTAAAAATCTATATCGTGGAAATTGTACCCTATCATTATATGAAACTTTTTTCATTTGTGTTTTATGTTTTTTTCTTTTTTTTCCTAAATTTTATTTTGTTGTTGAGAATATATCCAGTAAAACATACACCAATTCAGCAGTTTCTACATGTACCATTTAGTGACACTGAGGACATTCTTGAAGTTGTGCAGCCGTTCTCACCCTCCTTTTCTGAGTTCTTCCTCCCTCATCAACATAAATTCACTGCTTCATAAGGTTTCTATGTAATCTTTTGAGTTCCTGTGGTCAATTTGATTCTGTATAATTCTTAAAAGAGCATATTGCTCAAGGCTCACCTTTTTACTAGTTAAGTTAAACTGTAAACTATTGTTCAGTTTTAAGAAGACTTCAGGGGGTATTTTTGGTTTAAGGTTTAAAAATTACGTCAGGGCAATAGTTTCAGGGGTTCATCCATCCTCCATGGCTTCAGAAGTCTAGAGTCCATGAGAATTTTCAATTCTGTTCTGCCTTTCCCCCCTTTTGATCAGGATTCTTCTGTAGAATCTTGGATCAAAATATTCAGTAGTGGTAGCTGGGCACCATCCAGTTCTTCTGGTCTCCTGGCAAAGGAGGCAGTTGTTTATGGAGGCAATTAGCCACACATTCCATATCCTACTCGTATTCCTGACTCTCCTTCCTCTGTTGCTCCAGGTGAATGGAGACCAGTTGTTGTGCCTTGGATGGCACTTGCAAGCTTTTAAGACCCCAGACACTATGCAGCAAACTAGGAGGTAGAACAGAAGCACTAAACACATTATTAGGCCAATTAACTGGGATGTCCCCTGAAACCGTGACCCTAAACCTCTAAACCAAGGAACCAAATCTCATGAGGTATTTGGTTCTACATAGGTAGTCAGAGTTTTGAGGGTGAAGGGACCTAAGTTGGCTGGGGTGATTTTGAGGCAAGAAAACTTAAACCTAGCTTCAGGAGACTAAAGGAAAAAGTGGGCATTTTGGTGGGGAGTGAGTATCTGATTTGGATGTGTTGAGGATGTTGTCTTTCTACCAGTTTTGCTCCTTCCTCTCAGCCAGACTCTGACAAAGAAATCCCCAGATGCTTCACTTGGGGAGGACCTCCCAAATGTGAGGTTTTGAGGGTGGTATGTTTGCATCTAGTATACGATCTCCTTGCTTTCAGAGTCTCTCTTTTTTTTTTTTTTTTTT